ATACAAAGAGCCCACTCATTGGAAAAGACCCTGATGCTGGGAAAGATTGAAGGCGGGAGGAGAAGGGGACGACAGAGGATGAGATGGTTGGATGGCATTGCCGACTCAATGGACATGAGTTTGAGCAAGCTCCGGGAGATGGTGGGGGACAGGGAGGCCTGGTGTGCTGCGGTCCGTGGGGTCGCAGAGTCGGACACGACTGACTAAACAACAATAACAGGGAAGTTTCCAGAATGATTTATTTTTACACGACTCAACTCTGTTGCCTGTAAGAAACTCACTTAAAATGTAATGACAGTCTACATGGAAAACCCCAAGGAAGCTACAAAAACAAACAACAACCAACACCTCCTGAATCTAATAAGTGAGCTCAGCAAGGCCAAAGGATACAAAATCAACATTCAATTGTATTTCCAATCACTGGAAGTGAACACGCAGAAACCAAAATTTAAAATACATTTAATTCTAATTTTAATATGTTTACAATTATTTGAAAAAAGAAAGGTGTAAATTTGACAAAACATGTACAAAACTCACATCCTGAGAACCACACAATGCTGAGAGAAGTGAAAGACAGACAGGGAGTGGCATACCGTGATCATGGATTCAGAGCCAGCATCCCGAAATGTCAGTCGTCAGGAAACTGATATACATGTATACATGATATACATGTTTATAGCTCCCATCAAAATCCTGCCAAGATTTCTTACAGATATAGATAAGATTGTTCAAAAATTTACATCGAAAGGTAAAGGAACTTATCTTTAGCTTAAAAAATTATAAATAAGCATGAGGTGGGAGAAATCGACTTTAAGACTTATGAGATAGACACAATATTGAAGACTAGGGGTGCTGATAAAGAAACAGACACAGACCCATGGGCCGGAGTAGAGAATTCAGAAATAGATCTAACAGGTTTGGCAAACTGAATCTCTACAGGGACACAAGACAATTCAAGGCTTGTGGGAGAGGCAGCCTATTCCGCAAACTGTGCTGCAGCAGTGGACAACAGAAAAAAAGCAAAAACCCTCTGATCTTAATCTCACACCCGATACAACAGTTAGCCCAGACTCAGTGAGAGACGGAAATGTGAAACATACAGGGAAAAACAGGAGGAAATCTTCAGATGTGGTATGAGGCAAAGGACCATGAAACAAAACACTTATAAATTGCATCTTATAAAAATGAAAAACTTTTACTTTGTAAAAGACCGTGCTGACGGGATGAAAAGACAAGCCCTAAGTGAAAATATTTGCAAATCACATATCCAACAAAGGATTAGTATCTACAAATATATAAAGAACTCTCAGGACTCAAAAGTAAAAACAAAAACAAAAAGTCCAATTAGAAAACGGCCAAAAGCCATGAAGAAGCATTTCCATAAACTGGATATATAGATGGCAAATAAGTATATAAGAGATAGTCAGCAACGCGAGACATTTGTTGTCGTTTAGTCACTAATTCACGTCCAACTCCTCGCAACCTTGTGGACTCTAGCCTGCCAGGCTCCTCTGTCCAAGGGACTCTCCAGGCAAGAATACTGGAGTGGGTTGCTATGCCTTCCTCCAGGGGATCTTCCCATCCCAGGGGTTGAACCCCTGTCTCCTGCTTCGGCAAGCGATTCCTTACTGCTGAGCCAACTAGGAACCCCACCATGAGCCATCAGACAAATGCAAATTGAAACCACGGTGAGATACTACTACACATCTAACAACGGCAAAACAGAAACAAAAAACAGAGAGACACTGTGTGCTGATGGAGGGTACTGGGAGACCGAATCTCTTAGCAAGTTTCTGGTGGGAATAAGAAATGGAACAACCATTTCTGCTCTGAAACACGTTTCGGAGCAATCGCTTTCAACACCCAACATGCAACTTCCATAGGGCCCAGGAGTGTAACTCCTGGGCACTTATCCCAGAGAAATAAAGATTTACATTCATGCATGAATATTTACAGAAGTTTCATTCATAGTAGCCAGACACTGAAACAACCCAGATGTTGTTCACCTGCTAAACAATGTGGTATGTTCGTACCGTCGGATATTACACGACAACCTGGAAATGCTGAAAGAAGAGTGAATCCTAAGAGGTCACACACTGTGCAATTCAATTGATAGAACTTCTTGAAATCACAAAATTTTACAGTTGGAGAACATCTTAAACTGCCTGCCAGGGGTTATGGAGGGAATCTGGACAGGAGAGGAGGGTGTAACCATACGGAATCTTTGTGGGGTTGGAAGGTTATGCGGTTTGTCAACATCCATGTCCAACTTGGCTGTTGGCCTAGAGTTTTGCAACACTTTATCACTGGAACAAAGGGCACACACCATCTCTCTCTATTATTTCTGAATCGAATCTACGTTTATATAGTTGAATGAGTCTACAACCTTCTCAGGATAAAAAGTTTGATTAAAACAGCTGATACAGAACAGCATGATCTCACCCATCCCCCAGAGCCCCACCCCCACACCCCCATTTATGTTGGTAAGCAAACTAGGAGAAACTAGTGCAGAACAGAGCGTTTTTATTGTTTAATTCTTGGCCGTTGCAGGCCTTTATTGCTGCGCGGGCCTCCTCTGGTTGTGGTGAGCCGGCCTCTCATCGCAGCGGCTTCTCTTGCTTCAGGGCTCATGGGCTCAAGGGCCTCAGTAGTTGCGACACAGTCTCAGAAACTGTGGAGCAAAGGCTCAGCAGCTGTGGGGCAGGGGCTTAGCGGCTTAGCTGTGGGACCTTCCCAGCCCAGGAAGGTGGACTCTTTTCCACTGGGCCACCCTTGAAGCCCCCCCAAGCCCCGAACCCCCTTTTCTGCTGGAGTTCTGTGAACACTGTTCCCCAGACTTCCACACTGTGTATGTAAAATCCCGAAATGCTGGAGCTGGCAAACTCTGAAACAGCTATATAAAAGGGGCTTGCCTGGTAGCTCAGCTGGTAAAGAATCCGCCTGTAATGCAGGAGACCCCAGTTCAATCCCCGGGTCGGGAAGATCCCCTGGAGAAGGGAAAGGCTGCCCACTCCTGTGTTCTGGCCTGGAGAATGCCACGGCAGAGGAGTCTGGTGGGCCACAGTCCACGGGGTCAGAGCCGGACACAACTGAGCGACTTTCACTTGCCTTCGTATTAAAGGGGGCTTGTTGTGCTTTGGGGACCCACAAGGTCCCTCGGACCCTAAACTGGCTCTGGAGTGAATCCCCGTCCAGGTGCCAGCCGTGTGCCAGCCCCGCTGTTCCGAGGCCAGAGGCCTGTGACCTGCCACGAGGCAGGGCTCACACTCCAGCTGTTGTTTGCTTTAAGTTAGCTCGTAGGCCTTGAGCGGCCGGGGCCACCCCACACACGGGCCGTGTGACTCTGGAGACAGTGGCTCTTTTCAACACTGCTGTGGTGTCAACTTGTTTGTGACCGAGGGAAGGACGCCAGGGAGGTCACAGTGAGCAGGGGACACCTGTCCGTCCTGGGGGCAGAGGTCCTGTCCTGGGCTGCCAGTGAGGAGACAAGGCCCAGGGTGAGCGACGGAGCTGGTGCTGGGCCCTGGGGGGTCTAGGCTCTGGTCCAGCTGCCCCCACCCGACCCCCACCAGCCACGTGAACACCTGCGCCCAAGGGTGTTCAGACCTTCCCTGGCCTGCACCTGACCCTGAGGTTTTATGTGTCCCCCAGGGAGGGTCTCTGGGGCCAGGCCTGTCCTTGGTGGCCTGGCCCCCACCTCCTGGAAATGGTGCACACGTCCCCCCACTGCCCCAGCTTTTTGTGTGTGTCTGTGTCCGAGTGCCTCTGTGCTCCTTTCTCTGCGTGTTATCTGGGTGTGTATATCTGCGTGTACTGAGGGTGTGAGTGGTGTCCACGTGTGTGATCCTGGGGGGGACGCCCGGGTGCCTGTGTCGCTCCTGCAAGCGTGTGTGTGCGGCGGGTGTGCGCGCGTGGTGTGTGCGCGCGTGGGTGTGGCGTGTCCTCCCGCAGCGCGGCTGGTTCGGGGCGCCAGTCCCCGGGCGCCACCCTGGGGCGCGGCCGGCGGAGAGGAGCGCGGGCGGGCAGGCCGGCGGCACACGTGGGCCCGGCGCCGCCCCCCGCGGCCCACCCCCGGCCGCCCCCGCCGGGAGGGAGCCGGGATAAGTGGCGGCGCGGACGCCGCGCCCTGTCTCCGGAGCGGCGGCGCGCAGCTCTCCGGTCCCGGCCCTAGACGAGGACTCGGCGCTCTTGGCCCGGTAACTGCCTGCGTCCCCGCCCGAGCCGTGCCTGTCCCCCGGGTGCGGCCGCCCCGCGTCCCGCGGTCCCCGCGTCCCCGCGCTCGGCGTGGGCTCCCGCGCCCCTGTGCGCGTGTGCACGAGCGCGCGCGTGTCTGCGTGTGCCCGGCGCCTGCGCCCCGCTCCCTGGCGGCGGCCCCGAACCAACTTGTCGCCGCCGTCAACTCCGTGTCCGCGTGTCCGTCCCCCGCGGGCAGCCCTGCCGGCGGGGTTGCGCTCCTGGCGCCGGCGGACGCGGGCAGGCGGCAAAGTTTTTTGGGAGAGCCTGGCTGACTTTCCTGGGGGACCCGCGGTCGTGCGTGTCCGTGGGTGGGGATCTGGGCGCGCGGAGCTGGTGCCCTGGCGGCCGGGGCAGCGGGAGCCGGCCTCCCGGGGACACTTCTCCCTGCCGCAGGCGTTTCTTTACGAAGAGTGATGAGGGGCTAGCGCTGGGTGGCTCCGCTCGCAGACGGGGGCGGGGGCAGCCCCGGGCTCCGCGCTCCTAAAGCCAGGCAGGATCTGGGGCCCGGCGCTAGCTGGGAAGCTGGGGGTGGGGGGGACGTGGGGGGCGCCCCCCGCCAAGATGAAGGGGCTGCCCCGGCTGGCCTGGCCCTGACGCTCGGGGTTGTGCGCTGGTGGATCGCAGAAGCCCGGTCGTGATGCAGGCAGGTTTGTGGCGGCACCTTTAGAATTTTGGGCAGGAGGAATTAACCAGAGCGTCATCCACCCCGTGACCGCGCCCCTGTGAAACTTCCTTGGGGGTTTTAGCATGGAAGGGTGTTTTGCAGCTGGGTCTTTATGCCCACAGAGCTGACTATCATTTCCACTTGATTACAGCTAAAATAGTCTTTAAGATGAAGTTTCCTGAAATGATTTAAAATAAACACAGATGGGAAGAGGGGGGGAGAAAGCTGTAAGGAGGCACTTAAAAGATAAAGTGAGCATTTTTCTTAAGAACAAATGGGGTTTTCAGTCTTAAGAAATTTATGTATCTGTAAAATTTTTGAAGTGGAAGGGTTTTTCTTTTTTTTTTTTTTTTAACTGCTTTAAAAAAATGTGAGTGACTGATCAAGGTTTCCCTCCTGACGTCTCTGTTTTGCCTTCTCTCTGACCGTGCACCATTCCCTTTTTCCTTCCTAGCACCTGAAGATCCTTTCACAATGCCAGAGGAACGTTCCCCCCGGCTGACCCCACAGAACGTTCCCTACCAGGACCTCCCTCACCTGGTCAACGCTGACGGACAGTACCTCTTCTGCCGGTACTGGAAACCCTCGGGCGCGCCCAGGTCAGTCTGCCCCCACCCCCCAGTGATGCTGAGGTTGGTCCCCAGGGACGTCGGGGGGTCATGCCCCCTCCGCCTTCCTATGCAGCTCCTGCGAGGCCACTTTCTCCGTGACCTACTTCACGTGCCGCTTTAACATCGAGCCCAGCAGGCTAACAGAGCTGAGGGCTTATGCTTCATCTTTTTTAAAATTAAGAAGCAGGAGTTCTATTTCCAATATGACAAGTCGGATGTGAGTTCTACCGTATGGCAGTTTTCACAGGACTTTATTTTTTGTGCTGGAGTTGATTTCCTGTTGTGCAGGCATGCCTTTAAAAATCCAACCCAACAGTGACTGAAAACCACCTGATCAGATAAAATCAAAATGATGTGTATGTATAGTAACTTTTGTTGTCTGTCCGGTTTGACTGTGAGCCTCAGAGGGTGTCGTTCGTGTATCAGAGAAGGAAGGGGGTCTGCCTGTCTCCTTCTGATTTCTTGCCAGCTCAGTTACTTGGTACATTTCCCATCAAGGATTATGTCTTGCTGTTGGAAACGGGCGTTGGGAGGACACACAGTGAGACAGCTGGCCTCCTGCTACTTCCCTCCGTGTATAAAACGGGGAAAACCCTGCTTGTTTGTGTTGTTCAGGGAAGGAAACGACTTGGGGTAGCCAGCTGGCCTGGCGACCAGCGAACGTCTCCTGTTCCAACAGGCCTCTGGTCCCCGGAGGCCCGCGTGGGGCGTGAGGTGTGGGGTGGGCTGTGGGATTATGTCTCCCTCACCGTGTCAGTCGTTACCCACCCTGAGCACGGGTATGAAATTTCTCCTACGGTTTTAGCAAGGTGTGTGCAATCCCGGTAGCTGCACATTCAAGACAAGAAAAGCAACAACAAAAAAGCAGAGATGTGACCTGTGAAGACCTGGTTTAGAATCACAGCTTCAGGGCAGCCGGATAAACTGGCTGTTCGTGGGCGGTTAATAGTCCTGGGGTCTGGCGTTGTCTTTCTTAAAGGTCCCTGGAGGAGAGAGCTGGAGGGGGGTGCGGGTGGGGTCTGGCTCGCAGCGGCCCCCGGCGGCTTTGATTTCTAACCGCCCTGGGGTGGGGGCGCGTTCATTTGCTCAGTGTGCACTTGGCGATGGTGAGCCTCAGACTTTGGGGGCGTCCTTCGCGGGTGGGGAGGCTGTCCTCAGTGGAGGTCAGTGGGACACAGCCTGCAGGCTTCCGACGGGGCGGGGCTGCCCGTCCTTGAGCTGCGCTGGTCTCACAGTCTCCACCCCAGTGGCCCAGGACCCGCTTCCTCGCTTTTGCTCCAGTTAGAGATGGCAGCCCCCACCCCGCTCCCCCCGCCCCCCGGCTCCACCAGCTGTGTTTAAATCTCTTGGGGTCAGTGTTTATCTCTTGCTGGGAATGAGAATGGGGTGGGTGGGGGCCACACAAGGGTTCCGGGCTATGTCAGAGAGGCCCCCCCACCCCCACCTGCCTGCCCATTTCCACCCCCTCAGATGATGCAGGTTCATCAGCTCCCTCGGGGGAGCCGGTAGGCCCCCACCCTGGGTCGGAGGACCTTTAAAACCCATCCCCACCAGTCCTGACCCCTCGGGAGGTCCTGGAGGCCCCTGTGGTGACAGACGCTGCTGCATCCTGGGGTCCTGGAGGGATCAGGCCGGGGGGGGCCTCGGGGCAGAGTCTGTGCCCGCTGGTGGGGCCGCATCTCACGCCTGGGCCCAGCCGCTCTGTCAGACCGACCACCTGCCCTCCTGCGGGTGGGCGGCAGGCCTGTTGCCTGCGGAGCGGAAGGGCCCGCTGGGCTCAGCCCGCCCCTCCAGGGAGCGCACTCCAGGCTCTTACCCCGGGGAGCTCAGAGTCTTCTGTGGGCCAGTCCTCGGGAAAACACCCCCAAATGTCCCTGGTGTCTGCTCCTTTTTAAAAATGTTTCCCTCGGAGGCCCTCGGGCCCTCAGAGGCCCCTGCCTTGTAGATGGTGCCTGATAGAGGGTCTTGATCATCATGAGCCTGAGGCTGAAAGCCCACCCTTGGTTGCGCCGAGGCAGGTTTGTGTTCGTCTGGGGGCAGAGATTTATGGTGACAGCGGATACCGACCGTCCTTAGGATGCAGCAGAATGGTCTCCCTTGTAGTGGGTCTCGGGCGTGCTCTGGACTCTGGACGGGTCTCTTAGATGTGATCTCGTTTTATCTAACCAATCAACCCGCGAGGCAGGTGCTGTCCTTGTGAACCCTCTTCAAACGCTGGTCCAGCTGCATTTTGTCCACATTCCTCTGGTTCCACTGAGCACAAGACTTCTGTCCGAGGACTGTCTTCCTGATGAATTCTTGTTTTCGTTAGGATGCAGCTCACTCCTTACGGAAAGGAGTGATAGGATCTTTCATTGTGATCGTGCTCAGTCGTGCCCCCGTGGACGGTAGTCCTCCTGGCTCCTCTGCCCATGGGTTTCTCCAGGCGAGAACACTGGAGTGGGTTGCCATTTCCTCCTCCAGGAGATCCTCCACACCCAGGGGTCAAACCCGCGCCTCCTGCATTGACAGGAGGATTGTTAACCACTGAGCCGCTTGGGAAGCCAACAGGATCATTCTTCTTACTGATTGTTTGCTGGCAGTAGGTTAAAATGTGATCTGTTCTGAAACCCCAAATCTTCTTATGCCCCTGGAGACTGGGAATTGTGGAATTTTAAAATACTGATTCTGCAGCAGGCCTCCCGACGTTGTTCTCAGGGTCGTGGAACTGGCCGGGTGGGACGTGAGCTGCTCCTTCGTGGCTCTCGGGCCCTGGGATGATACTTCACACCTCTGGGTTCAGGTTACCACTCAGTATGCCTAAAGGGCAGCTTTGAATCACCTTCTGAACGTTCCTCAGCCGTCCTGGCCCCCAAGGGTGGCTGACAGGTCAGCAGCGTCGGGCCCCCGAGGGTCTGATGCACGCAGCGCCCGGTTGGATGGCTTGGCTCCGAGGAAGCCCTCCCTTGGTTCAGCCAGATGAAGAGGGCTGCAGGCCTCCTGGGTGTTCAGGGCCCGGCGTGGACACGTCACGTCTGTCTGCCTGGGGCTGACTGGGCAGTCTGAAGCAGACCCTTGTGAGATAAAGGCTTGGATGCCCTGCGTCTCCCCTCCAAGCAGGGGGCTTCCTCTTGCCCAGCCCACGCTCCGTCTCTGGGGGGCCCCCCACCCCAACACTGTGGAGCGACCAGGCTCTCTTCCTGTCGCTTCGCTGTCGCACAGTTGGGGCCCCCAGGGGGCCGCTTCATAGAGCTCCGTTCCTCTGCTCACCGGGGGCCTGGGCAGACAGCCGGGTGACTCCCCCTTGAGAAAGTTCCAGATCCGGGTCCTCCCCCCAGGCCGGGGGGAGGGCTGGCCTGCCTCCTCTCGGGGGCTGGCCTTCCTCCGAAGGAGGGTGAGAGGGCATCCTTTCTGGAACCTCCCCATGGGCTTGGAGCCTCGGCCATTCCTGGAGTCGAGAGGCCTCCGCTTCCGCCTCCTCCCTCTTCCTGGAGTCGAGAGGCCGAGGCCTCCGCCTCTTGCCTCTGATGTGCCCTGCTCTGCCCTGGGTCACGTTGACCGCGTCTCCACGAGGCCCTCGGTGTCCGCCTTGGGAGTTGCGGCCAGAGCCGTCTCAAGACGCTTCCTCCCACCTATGCAAATTTACCTGAGGAAGCAGCAGAACTCGCTGGGAGCTGGGATATATTTAAATGCTGGAGAACACCCTCCCTTCCTGCCGCCCTCATATCGTCCTCCCGTCAGCCACCAGCCCCTCGGGTCTGCCACCTGGGGCCCTGAAGATGGAGCCGGGTGCAGACCGTGGAGTGCGGAGCCTCCGCCATCTGGCCGGACCCCACTGCCCCCTGAGAGCCCGTTCCCCTGGATCAGCTCGTCTCTGTCCTCCGCTCTGCCTCCGTTTGCTCACCGGGTCGTGTGCCCTCCGTGTAGGGTGCGGGCACTGTGCTCTGGGCGGCGCTCCCCGGGGTTCTGTGTGTCTCGGGGGGCTGCCTCCCGGGGGCCCCTGCTGCTCCCGGTCCCTCGTGGCCTTCCGCCCAAGCTCCTACCACCTGCGTGACGAGGCGTGACCACATCACTGCCTTTGGTTGGCATGTTCCCAGGGCCAACCACATCCCACCCCTTGTTGCAGTGAGTCACTCAGTTGTGTCCGACTCTTTGTGACCCGACGGACCGCAGCACGCCAGGCCTCCCTGTCCATCACCAGCTCCTGGAGTTTACTCAGATTCCTGTCCATCGAGTCGGTGATGCCATCCAACCATCGCATCCTCTGTCATCCCCTTCTCCTCCCGCCTTCCATCTTTCCCAGCATCAGGGTCTTTTCCAGTGAGTCAGTTCTTCGAGGCCCAGGCATTGGAGCTTCAGCTTCAGCATCAGTCTTTCCAGTGCACACTCAGGGCTGACTTCCCTTCGGATGGACTGGTTGGATCTCCTTGCAGTTGAGGGAGTGCCACCCCTTAGGTCCCATCCCTTACTCATCCCTGAAAGTGGCCCTGGGGCCTAGTTCTGGTTGTGTCCACTCTTCCCACTCAGCTGTGGTCGCGCTCCCGCCCAACAGGCCAGTCAGGAGACACTGGTTTACTGATGTCTGGGAGCTGGTACCAGGGTGGGGAGACAGTGGTGAGGATCTCTGCCTTTGAGGAAGAAGTGGGTGAGGAAGAGGCAATCTGATCCATCATACTCCCCATGTGACGGGGAGGGACGGGGTGGGGGGGGGTGGTTCCTGGTGGCTCAGTGGTCAAGAATCCGCCTGCAATGCCAGAGACATGGGTTCAGTCTCTGGGTCGGGAAGATCCCTTGGAGAAGGGAATGGCAACCCATTCCAGTGTTTTTGCCTGGAGAATCCCATGGACAGAGGAGGCTGGCGGGCTGCAGCCCATGGAGTTGCAAAGAATCAGACACGACCGAGCAACTAAAGAGCACCAACCTAGAGACGGGACAACTGCCAGGCATGGTGCAAGTTAGATACAGGGTTGCACGGGGCAGACACGGCCCCTCGGGTGGGAGGTTTGGTG